ATATTTTTTTTTTATGTGAAAAGTTGCCAAACGGGCAGACGGTTCACCTGATGTTAAGTGAATTTATGTACTGAAAATCGGGAAATAGTACCGAGTACATACCTATTTGGTTTCATGTCTTAGATATATATTATTTTAATTGTTAACATAACTACTATATAACTAAATAAATATTCATTCATTCATTCAATACCGCCGCCCATGGACATCTGCTACACCCGAGGGTTGCAGATGTGTTGACAACCTTTTGAAAATTGGGCTCCGGCCACCTCACTCACCGGACGAAACGCGAAAGTATTATACTTCCACTTGACGCCGGTCTTCTGTGAGGACGTGGTGCTTACCCGGAGGAGCCTGCCCGCTCGTGCAACAGCCGAGGCTGCTACGTGGCCCTACCACCGTGAATGTCTGTAACAATATTATGCTAGTCCTAATGTTGACAAGATCTTGCACCTTTGATTGTGATGAGTCTCTTGCCGTATGGGCAGTTAAGCTTTTTCTTAGAGCAAAGCTAACAGAACCAAAAACAAATGTAATTTTTTCAAAATGAGGTTGATAAGGAATTTATTGAACACTCAGGAACTATCATCACTTTTTTAACAGTGTAAATACTATTTTATACGACTCTATTATATTTTTAAGATGACTCTATTATAGAATATGTTTTAAATCTCTTTTTGTAGTTATGTTTTACGATAACCGTATATTTGTCCTATTGTCGATCACTAATTTCAAGCAGTAGAACCTAGCAATGGGACCGAAAATAAGGCCTGAGAAGAGACCACTTTAATGTATGAGTTTTTTCCTTTCATATTTCATCTGGTGAGTGATAAACCACACGAAATGCTTCTACAACGAAAGACGACTTCCACTCTTTTGAAGGTTGGCAACACATTTGCAATTCCAATGGGATTTGTAACACACCGTTCACCTTTATCCCACCTAGGTGGGTTCGGCACAACATGGGGATCGTGCTGTAAGCGGTTTTGGCTATGTTTTCTACCACCGACCTTTAACCCACCCTGGGAAACAAACACCCAGATCCGGATTAATTATTATTTCGAAAATATGCAGGTTTCCTCGGATGTTTTCCTTCACACACGTGAAAGTGCAGTCTGATAATGGAGGCCACGACCCTCGTGCCGAAGCCAATAGATTAGTAGTGTTTAAAAATATATAAATTTGTACATTTACATTTAAGGATTTTAGACTATGGTAGTTGTTTCAAAGGTGACGCGCATCGGTCAGCCAGACGCGATGGATAAGTACCTAATCATTGACTACAAAACATTTAGCTTTAAAAGTTATAAAAAAAAAGTTATAAAAGTATTTCCCATTTTCAAAAACTTATCCGATTTAAAATAATGCTTAAATGTTCCAAATTTATTAAGTTTAACCCAATACAAAAACAAATTGACTTATAACCACATTAGTGGAAAAACTTAAGACTTACTGATACTGCATGTTATTTAACAATACAAGGTTTTCTTTTCACGATCCCTTCACAGCCTACGCTAACTACGCATGCCGAATACGGATCATTGCAGCGTTTAAAGTTAAACTATTTGCATTTCAAATAGAACAAATATTAACTAACCGCCATCGCATTCAAATTCTCCAGCAGCAATTAAGACGCGAGATTGTACGGTTTTTACGAGCTGAGCAATAAACAAATCACGAACTGGTTTTCTGTAGGACACCGTTTACGGCCAACTTGACCAAATAACACACACCGTTTAGCTTAAAACATTCGTGTTACAGGTCAGAAGTTATTTCAACTATTTGCTCAGAGCGCTAAGTTAAGAATCAGTGTAACGTTCCTAAGCAGAAGTACCTTAAAAGATTTAACTAAACAAACTTCAAATCAACTTAATACAAAAATAACCATGCCAGAAAAATGTTTTAATACTGACTGATACTGCATCACTGTCTGCAACCGATTGAGTTTTTTTTATATGAGAAGGTGGAAATCGAGCTGGTGGTTCACCTGATTTGAATTGATATCCGCCGCCCTTGGACACTTGCAACACGCGTAGGGTTACAAATAGGTTGCCTTTTTATAAAGTAGGCTCCGGTTACCTCACTCACCAAACGACCAACTTCCGCAGACGGACCTGCCCATTCGCGGACAAAAATGTGTCATAAAAGCCCACTTTGCAAAATAGTGCAGAAAAGTTTTCGCCTGATGCCATAAGACGTTTATAGGAATTCAGCCTAGAATTTGGAGGTGCGGCCTCCGATGCCCTAAGTTAGGAGCTGAACTTATGTAGGTCTGTGACTTAAGTTTAAAGTACAAAAGTAACCATTTGTAATTAAAAAATTCGTTAGCATTTATAGCAACGGAAGTAAAATTTATGTACATTTAGGATTATACCGCCATTAATATACTGTAATGTAATGATACATATCGACTCTACATTAACAGGCTTTTATTAAATTTCAACATGAAATTGTTTAAGTACTCTTCTAGACCATGTGTACAAATCTTTTATAAGCTCAAATTCAGAATGAAAGTTGTTTTAATCTTAAAATTGAGCAAATGTTGAATATTGAAAGAACAATAACATATGCCGTATTTTGTATATAAAAGATTTCAACGAGCTCATATCATGTTATCAATGTCATACACAAAAAGCCCACTGACCAATATGTACTTTTGTCCTGCGAGTTCACTCAAGGCTGTTTGTTTGTTTGTATTTAATCGCCTCTTATACTTTCCACCGGATGCATTTACAGTACAACTTCCATATACGAATTTACGACGACTAGTGCGACTAGGTACGAAAGAAAGAAGAGCTGGACTATGTTGATATAATTATTACGTATTCTTGTTTTATAGGTCAGTCTAAAAAGTCTTTTACAATATAATCTATTTAACATTATTAGGGGTATCATGTAGAATGTCGCCGGATGATTAAATGAAGCAGACTTATTAAAAAAAATTAATAAAAATATTAACAAACCTTAATAAACGCTATTCATGTAAAGATCACTTGAATCTTATGAACAACATAATTTTTAGGGTTCCGTACCATACAAAGGGTAAAATTATTCCCTATTACTAACTCCGCTGTCTGTCTGTCAGTCATGAACCGTGATAGTCACAAATATTAAATGAAAAAAATAATTAATTGCGACTCCCATACAATACAGACATATTTTCTTGCCGTTTTATAGAAAATGGTACGGAACCCTTTATGCGCGATTCCGACTCGCACTTAGTCGGTTTTCTTATTTATTACATATCACCAATCACCGCTTGATTAATAAATAAGTTAAGGTAGTATAAACTTTACGATGTTTGTAATTTTTTATGTTTACAAAAATTTTGTGTCAGTTTACTAAAGACATCACATGATATTTACATATATATATTGAAGTATTATTATATTTAGGGGAACTGGTATCGAAATATTTTTTATTGTATAATAATTACATTTATTCATCATCATCATTTCAGCCTGTTTGAGTCCACTGCTGAACATAGGCCTCCCCCATAGACACGAAGTACGATCCTGAGCCACCTGCATCCATCGACTTCCCGCACATTTGCACAGGTCGTCACTCCATCTAGTGGGGGGGTCGTCCTACACTGCGATGGCCAGTACGAGGCTGCCACTCGAGAACCTTTCTTCCCCAACGGTTATCGGTTCTACGAGCTATATGGCCGGCCCATCTTCGTTACGAACTCTATCACGCAGAGAAATACCGAGCATAGCCCGCTCCATGACTCGCTGAGCGACTTTGAGCTTCCTACATTTATTATTTCAATTTAATTTTTCACTTTGATTTTATTCATCCATTCAACAAGAAGAACTCAAATATTGATATTAACAAACTGTTGATACTTTTCTACAATTTATCCCGTATTATAATCGTTTTATCGACACCCTAGCAGTGACTAATTGTGTGAATGCGACGGCGCCTGCATGACGTCAAGCGTTCGTCCACTAACCGAGAGACGTCATCTGGACCTCGCGTGCCCAAACATGGAGTTGTATGCTTTTGTATCTCGTTCTTGCTGTTTACATTCGAAGGATACATGTTGCAGGAATATCTTTGTTAGGAATTAAACTCCTTTATATGGTTATAATTTGACTTTTTTTTTGTGAAAAGTTGCCAAGCGAGCAGACGGTTCACCTGATGTTAGGCGAATACCGCCGCCCATGGACACCTACTACACCTGAGAGTTGCATATGCGATGCCTCTTAATAAATTATGGAGATGATCAGAACATCGGCGTGAAGTAGAAGTATAATACTTTCGCGTTTCGTCTGGTGAGTGAGGTAGCCGGAGCCCAAATTTCAAAAAGGTTGTCAACGCATCTGCAAACGCTCAGGTGCAGCAGATGTCCATGGGCGGCGGTGAATACTTAACACGAGGTGAACCGCCTGCTCGCTAAACAACTTTTCACTCCCGTTACCTCACCTACCAGATGACACGCGAAGGTTTCATACTTCCACTTCCCGCCGGTCTTGGGCCAGACTGTGGTACTCCAACGAAGGTGCCTGCCCATCCGTGCACCAGCAGAAGCTGTTCCGTGGCTCTAACACATCCGGTAAATCTGTAAAATCGATGCATGTATGTACATATGTGCGCCGTTAGTTGGCTAATAAAACTACATATTATGACACGTCTGTTTATTGCCAGCGTTGACTAGGGACTGCCTTGCATCTCGTCGCTGTACATAACTATACATAAATGTAAGCACACGTACACCTGAGTACATACTCTATGGACTTCAGAACGATTTTTATTAAATTTTCAGGTAATCTACAGGTTAGCCCAGCCAGTGGGTCAACAGATTTTTTCGCATAATTAGTGCTACCCGCGCGAATCCGTGGATCGCTAGAACACGTAATTATACAAGTAGTAGTAAATAGGTCGTTAAAATAATATATTCTTACTTTCTTTATCAACATATAACATTGGTTTCAGCATTTATATGTAATGCTTCATTCCAGCAAATTTTTTAACACATCATAGATTCGCCTATATAAATGATGGTGCGGTATGTTATTACTGTATCAGTATATTTCAGGAAACTCACTACAGTACGTAGTGAGTTTCCTGAGAGTAAAAGAGAGTTTTATATCCCTTTAACTGTTGTTTCCTTTGACGACCGTACGCGCATTCACAATTCTACAATCTTTAGCACTTAGTATATACTCCTACCTAGTCGAACGTAAAAGATCTTTGTTAAGTAATATATATAATAATTACTCATTATTCATTATTTTTAAACGATTTTTTTTTTGTTTCACAAAAACTCACTTTGAACTTTAAAACTTTTATTCAAGCAAAAGGTTATGACAAATCGCGTGTACCAGGAAACCAGAGGTGGCGAGGACTTGCGAAGGCCGTTGGCACCTTGGCTCGCTTTTATCATCCCACATGCTTCGGCGCCTTGCCGCCCGCGCGACACCAGCGGCCTCCTAAAATGACGCCCTTAGATCCATTAATAAGAAGCGGTATGACCTCGCACACTTGAATCGGCCCGCTCTTCACTCAACCCGATTTGGTCGGTTTTTAATTAAAGTAGCATTCAATGGATTTTGTAACGTTTACCCAATTGTAAGTATACAGCCCACAGACTTACCGACGATAGATGGAGTGTAATATTTAAATTATTTCCTTCGCAATGAATTAAAAAGACGAGTTGTCTCGCGACAAAACAACAGTTAAATATATTTATAAGTATATGATAATTTATAAATAGACTAACGCCAGGTTTCTGAAACACTGACCATCGTAGATGTTAACCAATCATCTGTCAAATGACTTTTCAAATGTCATTAGAGTTGCCAAAAGGATAGTTAAACTCTTTGAAAGGATTATTCTGATCATTAAGAAGATCATTCTGGTCAATTCCGAGAGTTTAACAAAACTTTTGGCAACTACAGTGAACTTTGAAAAGCCATTTCACAGCTGATTAGTTAACATCTACGTTGATCAGTGTTTCAGAAACCGTGCGTGATCGTGAAAACAACCCTCAACTAAGCACTGGAAGTTAATAACTTAGCAACTACGCCAACCGAACCATCGACTCTACCAACTACTAATCATTACCTTCATATGATGTTAGACCATATAAAGTGACAAAATAATTTATGACACTGTAAATTGCCGAACAGCAATTTTTATTATGTACTTAAAAAAAATTACCCTTCTCTCATGTATATTTATGTCTTAATAAAGTAACCGAATATACAAATCTGTGCTTAAGTTACTGTTTCAATACAAAAGAATTTAACGTACTTATTATAGTAAACTTAGTATTTTTTATATATTAAATAACGCTTCCGTGTCTTTGCATACTGAAAAGTAAACTTCGAAGAAAATTCTAAACAAATTTCTTTCAATCCTGTTGAAAAATAATTGACCTTGAAACCGATTATACAATACATTCGATATAGAAAACCATTTCAATTTAAAAAAGAAAATATAAACCGATAAAAGAATCGTATTCATTACGTTAAAAGCAATTCATTAGTAATTTATTACATTGAATCTATTACATACATTAGCACGTAATATGTGGTGTTGCAAAACTATTTTAAACCAAAACCCGTATAATAAATCATCTTTGTAATATTTAGATGTAAATCAAGAAAAAACTAAACGTAAAATAGATATCGTAATGTCAGTCTCGTAATGATATGTTCGGTCGAGTAAAAGTGGTAACGAAGGGCGCAAGTTAGCGGCGTATAGCGGGAGCGAAAATGTGTTTTTATAACGTTTAATGTCAAGCTTTAAACTGTACTTATATATGCATTTATCTATTATTATCAACATTAAATTTAAAAAGTAAAGTAAAGTAACAGCCTATAAATGTCCCACTGCAGGGCAAAGGCCTCCTCTGTACAGAGGGTATCAGGGCATAGTCCACCACGCGGCCCCACTGCGGATTGGTGATTAAATTTATTAATGTATTATACAAATAAAATAAAAGAAGACTATCGTTGTGCGTTCGTCTCATCACTTCAGATGTCCATGGGCGGCGGTATTCACTTAACATCAGGTGAACCGTCCGCTAGCTTGGCAACTTTTCACATAAAAAAACGCCCACAGATTATAACCATCAAGAAGCTGAGCGGAATATATCTTCAACGTTTGCAATACATTTACCGCTACGCTCATCACTTGCACCGTGCAAGCGAGACCAGCTTTGGCCGCGGCGTTTCGCAAGCCGCCCGCCGTCCGACGAACCACATTCGCCAATTTGACGCAATGCGGCTAAGCACCTGACGATCCATTCGCCCAGTGAATGGAGTGGCCGGTCGCAAACTGCATGACTCTCGGGTGGAATCCTGTTGAATTAAAATGCTGTATCACTACAATCCTTACTTCCTTACTATTATTATAAAGGCGAAAGTTTGTATGTATGGATGGATGTTTGTTACTCTTTCACACAAATACTACTGAATGGATTTTAATGAAACTTTACAATAGTATAGCTTATACATCAGAATAAAACATAGGTTATAATTTATATACATATTTTTATGCATCAGCCTATTCTACGCAGACGTAGTCTAGACTAGTACTATAGTATAAGACAAAGTCGTCCCGCTGTCTGTCTGTCCCTCATATTCTTAGATCTTTAAAACTACGCAACAGATCTTGATGCGGTTTTTTCACTCGATAGGGTGATTCAAGAGGAAGGTTTATATGTATAATACATTGCACTCGTGCGAAGCCGGGGCGGGTCGCTAGTGACAGTTATATAGAGATAATCGACGAAAAAAGTACTTTTAGTACATTCGAACCCTAAGCCTAACCGTAGATAGTTGTATTCCGCTGAGTTTCTTTCGCCGGTTCATCCTCGCTGAGTTTCTTTCGCTGGTTCTAACAAGTACGAGTCCAACTCGCTCACGAAGGGTTCCATACCACTGTCTATATAAACGGCAAAAATCATGTTTGTTGTATGGGAGCCCCACTTAAATATTTTTATTGCGTTTTTTTAGTTGTCATAGCGGCAACAGAAATACATCATCTGTGAAAATTTCAACTGTCTAACTATCACCGTTCATGAGATACAGCCTGATAACAGACAGACAGTCAGACAGACAGACAGACAGTGTAGTCTTACTAATAGGGTATATGTAATAATATATATATAATAAATAAATACCCCTTTACCCTTTAGGAACCCTAAAAATCACAATTATGTAAAATATCTAACTTTAGAAAGAGAGCATTGTTTGCTGCTTGCAGTCTTGGACAGCAAGGCCGTTATTACAACCATTACTACATTGTTATTCATTTTTGTGACCTTGAACGTAACTGACGTGACGATAAAATGGACATTTTCTCAATCTAACACAGTCTAGAATCCATTTGTTGAATGTCTTTCGTGTTGTTATAGTGCCAAAGCAAACTTTCTCTATGCAAATTGACTCGGTTACAAAACCTTTGTCTCGAAGCTAGCTCGAAAAGCTTTGGCGTTCTCCGATTTACTAAATGAAACTATGTTTACGGATTTATCGCGTTTATTTTTGTTTTACTTCGCGACGTAACAATTTTATAAAATCAAAATCAAATGTCTTTATTCAACATAGGAGCATTACACTCACTTATTGATAGTCAAAACACTACCACCGGTTCGGAAAAGAAAGCCACTGTACTGAGAAGAACCAGCCAAAGAAACTCAGCGGGCTTTTTTTTTTTAAATAAGCAGTTTAACATAAATTAATTAAAAATACAATATAAGAACTTCGATTGAAAGAGCCTGGAGCGATCAGTTCATTACCAGAGTGTGTTATCATTTAAATAATCATTAATATTATAGTAATGAGCCGTGATAGCTCAGTGTCCGGGCGCTCGCCTTTAATTCTATATACTCGAGCAACCTGAGTTCGATCCCCGGTGCCGGCACCAATGAAGTTTTTAACTTTAAGTGCTGACTTATCACGTGCTCCGCGGTGAAGGAAAACATCGTGAGGATACCTGCATATTTTCGAAATAGCAATAAAAAAAATATATTTCGAAGATATGTGAAGTCCCCCAATCCGCAGTGGGGCCGCGTGGTGGACTATGCCCTGATACCCTCTGTATAGAGGAGGCCTTTGCCCAGCAGTGGGATATGTAAAGGCTGTTACTTTACTTTACTTTTAATATTATAGTACAGTATGTATACTGGCCTGGTGTAAGATCGTCGCGCTTTCCAGAATGCCCTTCTTGTGAGGGTCGCCATGTGACCATGGGTGTTGCAAAACATTCAAAGAAAGACGTGAAGTACAATGCTTTCAATACAAAATTAACAAGATGCTTTACATTGTTGAGATCACGCGACATTGTCGTCGTGACGACGAAAAACGAAGGTCATGGTCAGAGATTACTGACGCGCAAAAGAACGCTAAATTTGTTTGCCAAAGCCAGAAGATCAATCAAAATCAAAATCAAATCAAAAACTTTATTCAATATAGAAGATTCAAGATAGAAGCATTACACTTACTTATTCATTGTCAAAACGCTACCACCCGGTTTGAAAAGAAAAGCCACTGACCAGGGAAGAACCGGCGAAAAAACTCACCAGGACTTTTCTTTTTATACCATTATTTATCATAAGAAGACATGTTTACAAATGTATTGAAGTCCTCTTGAAAGAGCCTGGAGCGATCACTTAATTTCCAGGGTGTGTTATCATTTGAATAATCACTAACATTATAAATAGCCTTTAACACACCACGCGGCCCCACTGCGGATTGGCGGAATTCACATAATTTCGAAAAGTCATGCCTATGAAATTGTTAAATTTTAAGTCAGCACTTAAAATTAACAATTTCATAGGTGCTGGCACCGGGATCGAACTCAGGTTGCAGAGTACATTGAATTAAAGGCGAGCGCCCGGACACTGAGCTATCACGGCTCTCATTTAGTATTTATGGCCAGTATTTAATTAATCAATAAATAAAACATGCATAAATAGATTTACGATGTACCGAGACGGGAGACACAATCCGTAATATAACAGTATTATTTTTTTATATATATCAAAATAAATAAATAAATAATGCACCGATCTATCGTGAACACGTCACTTCGCCATCAACTTTTTTATTAATATCCAATACGAAACCGGCCTGGCCACACGCTAGACGGTCTTTTGAGAAGCACAAAGCGAATATCGTAATGAATTTATGATTAATGCACTACATTGCCGACGATAATTGAACCGGCTGGAGTAATAGATGCGAAAAAATAATAGTACTCGTTTCGACACCATGCAAATCTAAATTCCGCTTTGTATCAAGGTCCCTATCGAAAGGTGAAGCAAGAATTTCATCGATATTTTTTTCTTTTTTAATTATCACGAACGCCGTGCATAAATTAATATTATATTAAATGGAACGCAAAAACACTGACAAATAAAGTTTGTAATGTAAAAAGAGAGTATAAATGTTAGCACATGATTTCGTAACCGAGAGTTTTGAAGAGTCCCTAACCAGGATGAATCCTCTTCAAGGGTTATTTTTATGTGAATAGTTGCCAAACGAGCAGACGGTTCACCTGATGTTAAATGAATACCGCCGCCCATGGACATCTGCTACACTCGAAGGTTCCAGATGTGTTGACACCCTTTTGGTAATTGGGCTCCGGCCACCTCACTCACCAGACGAAACGCGAAAGTATTATACTTCCACTTTACGCCGGTCTTCTGTGAGGTCGTGGTACTTACCCGGACGAGCCTGCCCATTCGTGCAACAGCCGAGGCTTCTGCGTGGCCCTATCACCGTAGCAAACCGTAGATTATAACCAATTGGCCATTGACGGTTGAGCAAACATGTTAGAGTAATGGTTATATAGCTCCTGAGACTCGCGTCAAGACGGGCTTCAGCCTGCGACACCGAAGTTTACACACACGAACACAGTGTATAGCTATAAAATAATGACATTATTATCTTACAGTATTTATCACAATAATCGAAGTATAAATGCACGTATTATTGGAAAAGGGCTGACAACGTTATGGCGCGCTCGTAACGAGGTCGGAAGAAGAATCTCTCGTTGAGCGTACTTCAGATACAGATCAGATTGGCGATAGGCTGATGACGGGGGAATGTTAGCGTAAACAATAGGGTGTTTGTGACCTCGGTCAAATCAAACCTTTTGAAAAAAAAAACATAGTATAACATCAACCACAAAGAAAAACAACATAATGATCATTTGATATCGTCAAATATAAGGATCGGACATTGTAATCTCCAGGCTAATTGCAACTCCGTCTCGAATTCCGCGTAGTAATTAATTAATGTTCTCAAAATTTATTACCAGAGGCGTGAAAAAATTTAAAAATAAACAAATGAAACACACTATTGACAAATATTGCGGTGTAAATCGAAGTAACATATTTTTTATTTATATTTATTTGGTTGAAAATTTTACTTTTTTAACCAATAAATATCAATAGCCTATAAATGTTCCACTGCTGGGCAAAGGCATCCTCTATAAAGAGGGTATCAGGGCATAGTCCACCACGCGATCCCACTGCGGTTTGAAGAACTTCACATATTTTCGATTTTTTTTCTTTTTTATTATTTCGAAAATATGCAGGTTTCCTCACGATGTTTTCCTTCAATGCCGAGCATGTAATAATTCAGCACCTCAAATTAGCAATTGCATTGGTGCTGGCACCGTTGATCGAACTCAGGTTGCTCGAATAAATGTAATTAATGGTGAGCCCCCGGGTCCCGGACACTGAGCTATCACGGCTTTATTTATTATTATCGGCGGCTTATTCACGGCTTATTGGTTATTAGCAGTCGGGATATATTGTTCTTTTATGTCACAAACCTAACGTAACCTAATGATGGTTCTTCGTCTGTTTCAGAACAAAATGCGGCGCAGCTGGCCCCAATAAAACCCCACGAAAGTATACTCGGCCTAATGTTTATGAAGAGCAAAAGGAGGTTAGTAAAACACGAACCTATCAATGCATAATTAGTTCTAAGAACGGTATACGGATATAACAACTTTACTCAAAGATAAGATCGCGATTAGCGGGCTGCCAGTTCCCGGTAATTAACGCGGTTTATACATTTCGTGGAGGACAATGGATTTTAACAAGGATCCTGAACATTAACAAATACGACAATGTATATACTAAGTACAAACTTAGATCTGGAAAAGAAAGTCGTAGAATAAATTAAACATAAAATTTGAGATATTCTATTCCTATATCATTTCTTAAACTTATCAATTTGGTACAAGAACAAACAAATTTGCTTCACGCTCTTCTATTTCCCATGTGACTTAGTTTTGTGAGTTTCGATATGTCAGTTTCGGTATGGCCTCGACTTATGCCATTTGGAGCTTCCACTCAGCCGACGAACTGTTTCCAGATAGGCGAATCGATGGTACCGAAACCGCCGAGTTGATTGTGGGCGGATAAAACGAAAGAACCGGCAACCCGAGGTACCAGTTATCGGGTACCTCGCCGTCCGATGTCAGATGAAATCGGTACCAAGGCAGACAACGCCACTGATGGCGATAAGGTAGCCAAAGACGGGACAAACGACGAAAGCGCTACAAAGGAACCGAAAGAGGTGAAACCGAGATCCGTATCCTTCAATAGGGACGTACACGTAAAACGCTTCGGTGAGTTAAACTTCGGTACGGAAGGTGAGCACGTTTGAATTTGGTCCGATTGCCGCCAGCAGTTACCTCCTTCAAATGACCTCCACAATTAGATCTGTTCCTACTTTGTACAGTGAGAGCTGTATATGTGATGAAACATGCCTTATTATCTATTTAAATATTGATCGCAATGAAAAAGTAAAAAAAAAATCAAACAAGCAGACGAAACCTTTGGAATTAATTATTGAGATTTACAATAATTACGTAAGTGTCTTCGTTTAGTAGAAAGGACATTTATATGTGAGAAAAATTTAAATTAAATGTACAATTCTGCCTCATAATTAATAACTATTTAAAGAGAATATATCAACATAATATCTCTGTTGACAGTTTGGACAGGCGCAAAAACTTAAATGATTGAATAATACCTAAAGGTCCTATGACTCTATCGTCCATTAATGATCATTGAAAATGCTTGGTTATTATATTTCTATTTTGTTTAAAAGAAACAAAAATACCAAACAAAAATCTACTGTCTCATAAAAATGATTTCGCTGACGGAATAATAGTGGGCGATCGGACCAAACCTAGCACTCTCCTACGGACCGACAACTATCGGTTTTGGGTTATACAAGTCGACGCATGGATTTTACGCAACAATATAACCCAATGGCGCTAATAAGAATGAACGTATCACAGAATGTCACTAACTAATCGCCATGTAACCAGTACGGAAGTGGCGAGGGACGTTCGTTAACAACCACTCGTAGACCTAACAGCATACTATTATCTCGCAGTAGTCCAACTTCGGGCATCTTCAATTAATCAAAGTTAATGACTAACTGCGACTGATCTGTGACTAATTCTAACATAGGAATCTGTCTGTATCTTTTGTGTGTTTTTGCCTTCTCAATGTTTCTTCGTACAGACATGGTCGGATCGGCCGTACTATACATTTGGCGATCCGTCCATCTATTACCACTAGTTTCTCTGTGTTGTTCAGATTATTTTCCGCTTTATATTTAGTTATATTATATTTAGTTTATAAAGTGATCATAGCTATTCATTTGTAACCGTGTTCGCTTTTTAACATGAACATAAATAATATAGTGTTACATAAATCAAACATATATAATTAACTTCGTAACTACATGATAGAGCCAAAACTATGCGTTATATCACCATATCTTAAAACTTCATGTCTTATTAACAATTTTCATTTTAAATGTTGTACAAAAAATAAATTCAATAATACCTATCATCTTCAAATGATAGCAAGTTCTAATTAAAATATACGAGTCATGAAAATTCTACATTACAATGTTATTTAACATTAAAATGTTAAAATACTTAAAACAAACGGGCTAAATTTTAAGTGAAAATATCCATTGCCAAATGTCTTACTGAGGATGGGATAATCGCTAGTCTTCTAGCTCTTTGGTATCTCGTAAATTTTATAAGTTTAGAGCTTTTAAAGATTTACCAAACTGAAATCCCATATGTTCCAATTTAGCATACCATTTAACAACACTGCATATGACCATAATTCTACCAGGCCATAGATAATGGTTTACGGCAAAATCAGCGACCGATAATTAATAAGTTCGCATAATTTTAAAAGAACTGTCCGTGTCGATCAGGTTTTAAAATCGTGGAAGCTTGCATCGTGCCTCAAAAATCGTTTTTCAATTTGTCAGCGATATATGGCTGCCGAAATGAGAAGAAATGCGCGTTCTTTTCGCACAAAATCCAGATTTTGTAAAGCCCGCAGAAACTAGTTAATTTTTCAAAGAAGTTAAACATAATCAGCAGCAGTTTAACCTTAATGTCGTCCTAAAGGGTAAAGAGAAAATGTTAGAAAATGCGCATCATGAGACACTGCTCAATATTCTCGGGTTACGATGAATGCCAATGAAATATCCAAGGTCGAGATGACCACGGCTACATGAATGGCTGAGTCTAAATATACAATGGAAAAAACACATTATAATAAACGGCAAATCGGCCATTGTGTAAGGTATCAATGCCAGTGTGATTGAAAAATTGATTCCGAATATGGAGGCTATTGTTGATTCACAGTTATGTAGAGAGCGGTTAAGTCGAAGAACAATAGTGGAAAGATGCTTGACCAGAAATATAAAAGTGTGTTGTACAGTTAAACTGTAAAGTTAAAACTAGTTTAGGTTCTAGGTTAAGCGTAATTATTCAGCGAGGAAATGCATCTAGCGTTGTTTACTTCATACCGCGTGGACTTCTTTTATTAGATAATACGTAATTTGGTTAGATTTAATATTGTAAATATTTCATATATAATAAGTTATAAGTTGTAATATTAGGCAATATAAAAATAGATTGATGATTTTATCTAATTTGATATTTAAATGTGATTTTTTGTAGATTAATTATCACTAAATTTACAATGCACACAACGCTCTCTAACCAAGTTAAGCTGATATCCGCACTTCGTGAAAATCTCGACATCTGTCTACTGTATTTATAGCACTATCAAGTTGCATACTTGTTTATTCGTATTTTACATTCTTCACAGCATGCCGATACTTTTTAAATAACATTTTATATTAATATACATATTTCTGCCTATAGAACTACGGGCTTTTGTAACATTAGATTTAATCAACCTGAAAATATTCGGAATTTAGGCTTTCATTAAAAAAATGGAAAGCGCGTTCGATACTAACACGAAATCTCTAGATGACATTAGAGCGTTAACTATCTCAGTTAGGTATGTGGTAGTGTAATATTTTGTGTAATATGTTCGCAGCGACGGGAATCTAGACTCTAAATATACATATATTCGTAAGTTCGACCAACAAATTACATAACAAAGAAACATTTAAACACATAAAGGAATTATAATTTCCTTATATGTCTAAAATTCTTTCCATTGTCTAAAAGATAATAAACTTTGAAATCGCAACGAAATAAAAAACAAAATAATAAAAGATATTTTGAAGTAAAACTTCTTTAGGCGCGACTAGGGAGTAACTCAGATTTTTTTCTGACGGAAGAAGGAAGTAAGTATATATTTTAAAAATATGACATATACTTATAACGTTACTAAATATTTAATCATTTCAGTGATATATGCCGTCAACGCCAAAGAAGTTTTACTTCAATCGCGCGTAAAGGTTACACGCACACACTTTTTTTTTTTAGTTAAGTTTCTTTTCTCTGATTCAAGTTTGTTTTATAGTGTACATAATATATTACTACAACTTGATGATCAATTAGTATGTCAATGTTCTGTATGCATTTAGTTGGTGAGCCTTAATAAATAAATACAAACAAAATAGGGAGTTCTATTTTTTTTAAGAAAATTTACAGTAGACCAGTTTGAATAACAAAAACTTCTAGAGAAGAAGAAGAAGTTTTTGACATAATTACTGTACTGATTCGATGACAAATTTAACTCATATTATGTACGTAAGCGAACAGAAACAGACGCCGTAATGAATACATATACAAATCATCATCAATAATGAATTTAGTACCTATGTATTATAAATTTTAAAGTGTTTTATAGTGCTAATCTCTGCACTTAAGATTAAACATTAAAACATGTAGAAAAAGTACGAAAAGATTGTCGCCGCTGTGGGAATCTAACCCACGTCTTCGGCATTCGCGGCCCGACGCTCCAGCCACTGAGCTAAACGGCTGATAACCACAGCGACGAAAATCTTAACGCCTTCTTTCTACATTGTTATTTAGCATTTGAAGCAATGCGTGGCGCATCTATTGTTATATCCTTTCCAGCATATTCGAAATTGTTTGTATGCTAGAGCGTCAGGCCGCGAATGCCGAAGACGTGGGTTCGATTCCCACAGCGGCGACAATCTTTTCGCACTTTTTCTACATGTTTTAACCTATGTATTATGTTAATGACTGTACCTTAATCATAAGCTGTCGATTTGTTTCTTTACGTTTCGAAATTACTCGTAGATTGAGTTAAGTGCCTTACAAGCGTATGTTGATTGTTTAGATAGCATTAACAATTAAATTTTCTATGAATGGAAATTTAATTGTTAATGCTATCTAGTCTAAATTAAGTCTGCCACTTGATGAATTTAAACGAAAAACTAAAAGTAAACTTATGGCTAAAGCCTATTATTCTATTGCTGAATATCTTGACGACGCCAATGTGTGGGGTTAATACTGTTGATACTCACGTAGGCTAAAACAAGACTATTGTACATGTACTATTTATATTGTAAACTGACTTTTTTTAAAAAAGAGCAACTGTTGAGTTTCTTGCCGGTTTCTTCTCAACAGAAACTGCTTTCCGAACCGGTGGTAACTTACGAACGTGTTAATTTCTTGTAAAATTTTGACGTTTCATAAGAACGCGCAAGCGTCTATGTGAATAAAGATATTTTATTATTATTTATTATTATGTTATATGAATTGTAAATGAAAATATATGATTTCTATCTAAAACTATGAAGAATCGATTCTTTCCGCTCAGAGAATTAATGTGTTATAGACAAAAAAATTGAGATTGATTTTTGTTTGTTTTTTCGTTTACCATTTAATGGTTCAGCACTGCATTACCATCACTTAATTTACCTTTAATTGTGATCTAAGTCAAAAACTAGGACACGCTAGATTAAAAAAGCCTCACTTAAATCTATACGTTCCGGATTAATTGGCCATAATTATTACATATGAATTAACAATTTACGCATTTGATGTCTTCTTAATTGCACTGATTTAGTACCTTAAATTGTTTTTGAGAGGGTTTAATTTTTTAACCCTCTAGGGACAGTAGACCTTAGAATTTGATATAAAGGTTCCAGTAGATAAGACCAAGATCTATGGGACCTGATTAAGTAAACTTTAAACAAGTCATAAGAGTTAAAAGCGTCGGTTCGATTCGCGGAATTGTTTTCGTAGCGTGCATGCAACAAATTCGTTACAAATAAACGGAGATTTGGCGGGGTAATTTCCCAAATTGAGGTCAATAACGCTTACGCATTTCGCACCGCCCAAATTGAGCGAGCCGA